GAAGAATGTTGCAAGAATCCAAATTAAGAGAGAGGGAGAGAGGAGGAGAAGGGGGGGAGGGGAGGAGAGGGGGTGGAGAGCAGCAGGGGGGCAGGAGGAGGGAAGGAGGTTGATAATCCCGATGCACAGTTAACACGGGCTGCCCAGAGGGCGTGGGCCCCTCTGCCTGCCCTCTCTTCCCGGCGAGAGGGAACTTGTTGGGGCGCTGAGAGAAGGAAGGAGCGAGAGAGAGAGAGAGAGACGGGGGTGTGGAGAGGGAGTGGTGCCACAGCTGTGGCAGCGAGAGGCAGAAACAGAGGGAGAGGGAGAGAGAGAGGGAGTTCAGTACAGGACCCACCAGGACGGCGGCGCAGCCCCCCGACCAGAGAACAGAGAGAGAGGAGGACGAGTTCGCCGGTGTTTCAAGCCCCCTAGGCAGCCAGCAGGCAGAAGAGAAGAGTCTTGAGCAGCCTGGCACAGGGTAAGAGAGTGAGAGAGAGAGAGAGAGACGAGCTGTTTAACGGGCACAAACGCTAGTCAGGACAGGCTCGGCAGCTGCTGCCGGCCGCCTCGAACCCCTTGCACAGCGTCGCCGTCCTGCCGCTGTCGCGGTTTTTCCCTCCCCCCCATGCCCGGCTAGGCTGGTCAGAAACGCGCGGCAACTTTATTTAGCGAGCCTCTGGGTGCCACATCTGGCAGGACCCACACGCCAAGCAACTGTGGAAGTCAGAAGGTGTGAATCCCGGGACTCGATCACATAGAGAATGCATGTTCATGTTGTCAAGTGTTTACACCGCTTGCTTCAGTTCTGCGTCCTAAACCCTGTTACTTCCTTCTTCTCACTGTGTCCCCTGTCCTGCTGCGTGTGCGGATTACTTGGCGATTCCCTTTAACCTTCTTTAAAATGACTGATACTGGACATGGAAAGAAACTGACACTCTTGCTACTAAATGGGAGACTGGCTGAGAGACAGATATATGCACTATCTGTAACTTGCAAGCATAATGCACGACCTAACACTGATATTGATGTAGAGCGAGCTTGTGTCAAGTACACTGACACAGCCCAGTCACAGGGCTCTAGACTCTTCTA